TCATTTTCTGTGGGATCTTTGGTGCCAGTTGGTAATGGTCCACTCCAACAATTCTATGATGTCTTCTGCATCACCAGGCAAGGGGTCACTTGATCGAGAGACCTCTGTTTTCAGATATTGGATTTTCTGTATTGGGCCCACAGCCATAATATCACTTTGTTGGCATGTCATATTCTGGGTGACATGAATCTGGTTGCACATTGGTTATCCCATCCTGACAAAGTTCTCACTATGGAGTGGTCTTTGGATCCTCACATTTTTTGAAGGTTGTGTGCTTGGTGGGGTGTTCCAGGCTTGGATGCTTTTGCCACTCATCTCAAAACACAACTTCCTTGATTTTGGTTTTCTATTCCTCATTCTTTGGTGGCAGAAGTCAATGCTCTCAGTCAAGATTGGACAGGTGTGTAACTGTATGCATATCCTCCTGTTTGTTTCCTCCCATGGGTCCTTGCCATAATTCAGACCACTCTGTGTCATGTTCTGTTGGTGACTGACCAGCTCAAATGTGGTTTCCATTGCTGTGCCAGGTTTTGGTCTCACCCCTTCCTCTTCCTTTATCTCCAATACTCCTTTGTCAGTCCCACTCAGGTGTGCATCATCCATCCCTCACCGGAAGGGCCAGACTTTTGTATACTATGGCTTCCTTTGTTTCCTGTGTAGTTTGTCCTTCCTCCAGGGTGGTTTACCAATGTAAGTGGTAAATGTACTGCTGTTGTTCTGTCAGATGGGGTTATTGTTCTTCCATCCTACTGTTCCTTACATAACATCCTTTTTGACAGGAGCTTTTCAGGTTCCTCAGTTGTAGGCTTTGAGGCGGTATTATCTGCCATGTTTTGGTTTACTGAATTTGCTTGTCTTTTCCAGTCGCTACTCTTATCCCTGTTGCTTGATTCCTTCCACATTTCCCATCCACCCAACCCTGCTTCCCTCCCTGGTTGGAACCTCAATGTATCCTCCAATCTCTTACCCATCCTCCATTGGAACCTTTGTCTTCAAGTTCGTTATGTCACCTTTCCTTGAAGTCCCTCTTCCTGCTCATGTTGGTGTGCAGACATAGTCTTTCTGATGTGTTCATGATTGATGTTCAATGCATTTTGTTTCGTAGTGCCTATGTTCTCCTCTTTCCTAATCATTCCTTTATTCCCCAAACCTCGGCTGCTCGATAGGGTAATTGTACTTTCACACCCATTTCTCTTTCTATCTCATTCCACCTTTATGGTATATGACATGCACTGTTCTTTTCCATAGTTACCAAGTCTATTTGTTTATCCTATGGAATCCTAACCTTTCCCGTGATCTTTCTCCCATTACTCTTATGGGTTGGATTTGCTAGTTAATTCACCTGGCATATTCTTCCCTTTTTCTTGATGATTGTAAATTTTTTCTGGTATCCTACCATGTCCGTAGCTGAATGTTTCTGTCTTCCCTAAGAGGACGTCATCAGTGCTAGTATGTAGACCACTGCACCTACCTTTATATCTCATTATCTCAATCACGTAGTCATTTCCTGCTCTTTGGGTTTCCATATACCTCCTATCACTATTTTACGCTTCTCTGTGAGAGGAAAGTCCTACCTTCATTTTCTTTTTTTTTTACACATGGTCTTTCTTGCATGTTTGGATCCTGCTCTGTAGCAAGTGTTGCTTGACCAGGTATACTTAGTCTTAAATCCACACTGAACGACCTGTGATCATATACTATGCTAAATTATTGTAATGTTGAGGCTCTTCTTACCATGGACCTGATATGCAATCAGGTATTGGTTGCTTGACCCCTTCACCCTGCTTTCAAAATACAATTTCCTAATGCATATTCAGGTCATATCTTGCCCACCATTGAGAAGGTTTTCTGCAGGACTGCTCATAGGTGTACCTCTAAGTCTTCATAAATATGTTTGTCCTGGACTGTAAACTCTTGGACTAACATGAGTAAAGCAAACAGAGTTTGCTGCCCATCTCTAATGATTTGTGGTGTTTGATGCTCATCCAACCAGGGACCTGACTTACAATGCCAGATGCTACCAGGGGTTGCATGTTTGCTCTGCTTTTCAATATAGTGTATCATGGTCATCCATTGCACTGTCTCCGGTGCTGCAGTTCTTCGGACTCTCCAACACATCATTTCCCTCCTTCTAGTGGATTATGGGAGTCCTTGCCACTTACCAGTTCTTAACCACAGAGGTGGTGGACCATGGAGGCCTGTCTTCCTGAGTGTGCACAATACCACTCAGTTGAGAGTAGGGTGGTGGCATTCTGATGGTGTAGTTCGTGTAACGTCCTTCCTACCATGGACCTGATGTATAATTCCAGATGCTGCCAGGTGTTGGATGTAGCACTCCACCATATATACATTGCAGTTTGCTCCTCTGGCTGAGGCACCCTTCTTCCAACTGTCTGCTGAGTGTTGGTTCTCAAGGATCTGTTGTTGGTTGGAGCCGGACCAGCCACATAAGTCCTGACTTGTGTTTGGACGGTTACACTCCTCCTACCGTGGACTGAACAATAAGTTCCCAATGTCACCCAATTTTGGATTGGAGATGCAAACTCATATAGCTGTCCACTTCCAACTGTGCACTGGAGTCAGTTCCTGATGGATCTGGTGTTGGTTAGAGCTGGACAAGACACATGAATTTCAGCAAGTTTAAGGTTCAGCACTCTCCTCAACAAAAAATTCCCAATGCCACTAGGTTTTGGACTGGAGATGAACACTAACCTGGGCCCTCCACCTTCCTATCGTCAGATGGATGTCAGTTCCCAGTGGATCTGGTGTTGTAGGTGTGCACCTGCAGAGGTGGGTTATTGTTACAGAAGCTCCTCTTCCTTGGTGGTACCCATTTTTGAGGTAAAAGATAGTGGACCCTCTTCCTATCATGGACCTGATGTACAATTCTAGATGCTGCAAGGTGTTGGTTGAGGTCGAACTCCCATTTACAGTTTGTCATACCCTATCCACTGAGGGGAGGGGGGGGTTTACATTATTTATGTAATTTTTCTTGGGGTCCCTTCTTTGTTTCCACCTATTTGGCAACATATTACTGATGAGCGATGAATATAGCTGGCTCAAAAGTGGTGCAGTCTCCCATGAGTGTGTTGGTTTAGTTCCTTCTCACACCCCATGATTTTCCTTTGGGTGCTTCTTATAGGAGGATCATCATCCCACCGGTCCTCCAACTGTTCAATATGAAAGTCTAGCTTTTTTGAGAAGAGGTAAGATATCATATCAGAAATTAACATTTTCTTAAATTGAAAATGTATTGCTAATAGAGATTTACCTCCTCTTACATTTCTCACCCATTCTTCCCACTTCCAGTGCGGTTTGGTGTGATATGACCAATTTCAAACTGATTAACAACTGCAAGATTAGAGAGGGGTAGTGTTGCACTCCTATTGGTGGAGGGTTGTTGCATAGTTATTTGCACGTTGATATGCAGACATCTCATTTTAACATATGTGAGAGTAAGTGGGAATATCAAGGCTAGTGGCGAGTGAAAATTTGTGGAAATACTTTTGTGAGTGGAGGTAAGTATCTATTGGAAATACATTTTCAATTTAAAAAATGTTAACTTTTATGACTGTTTTACAATAGAGTAACATTTTAAGATTGAAAATTCTTGTTCTGTTTGTTTTGCCAGTGAGGTAGCCAGGAATGTAGGGGTTTTATTCTCCATGTAAAGTCGAGACAGCTTAGTCTGCTGTGTGATTATATTATCTAATCAAGTGATATGTCCACTTCCATCCCTATCATGTTTCGTTCTTTTTTTTCAAGTTCAATAGCCTGCCCTGCATTGTGTTTTCATTTAGTGATAAATTTTGTTCATTATCCTTGGTTGTTTACTTTTTTTATAAGATGGCATATGTGGGATACTAGGTTATAAAGCGTATTCCAAATCTTTATAAATTTTGCATAGAATAATAATAAAATAGGTAGTCAAAGATCATAAAGACTGTTTTGCTCTATCAAATGATGATAAAATCATAGTTACTGCTAGAACTAATTAGGCGCTAGGCCTGTTGAAGAAAGATTATGATGAATGAACATATGAAATCTCGGTTTTGGTTACTCGTAAGTTTTTGACCTTGGGAGTCTCTGAATAGCTGAAAAGTGGCATTTTCACCAGATAAAGTGGCTATGTCAGGTTCATATCTAGTTTCTGATGACCTTTAGAGAAGAAAATCCAGTTGACTTTTGTATTGCTTTAATACAGGTGCCCATACCATCCCTACATAGAGAGAGCTAGTGCACACTCTCCGATATAGAAACTTGGATAAAATATAATAAAGAATAGATAGACAAATGTAAATAAAAACTTTTTCAAGTTTTTTGTGCAATGTTTCGGGCAGATACCCTTTGTCAGGCTGCAAAGACTATGTTACAACGAAATTAGGCTTTACTGCCTGACGAAGGGAATCTGGCTGAAACATTGCACAAAATAAAGCTATGAAAAGTTTTTATTTAGACGTGTCAATTTATTCTTTATTATCTTTCATCTAAGTTTTTTCTCAATTCTTGCAGAACAACATTATTCAAATACATAGAGAAACCCATTTTCCTTTATTTCACCCTGATCTGTAAAATGCTTACTAACTCCTTCAGTACTGCAGCTTATTCCACAAATGAGAAATATTTTATTGGAATGTACTTAATAGAGTCTAATGATTACATTCCACTCTACCAGCTATAGGGGGAATTACACTTTTATCTCTTTATTCTGTGTTTACAATTATGGATGGAAATCTGTCCCAAGTAATATGTGTTATTCAGTTACTGTATGTCAGATTTTTAAATGTAATGGACACTTGTAAAACTTCTTTCATTTAAAGTTGCACCTATTTCATGTTTTCTAGTTATCCAATTTACCAAAATTATTGGTACTATAAAAAAAATACATTAGTATATAACCTGCTTCATTTGACAGCTTTAAATACTCCCTGATGCTAGTAATTTAAAGATTTCATTTGAGAAGTTTATAATTTCATTCACCATAAAAATTATTTCCACAGGGTGCAATTATTAAAAATCCAGTAGATAACATCTTAGCCTTACCTTCAACAAGTACAGACCGAAATGACTTACCAGCAATGCAGTTTTCAGACCAATTGCCAGAAGAGATGGGTAGTAATGCATTCCTCACTTCGTCTGTTAATACATCAGAGATAAATATGGGTGTTGAAGATCCTAGTGAACTGCAAGGTGAGTTTGCTGTTTTGGAACAAACAATTGTTTAATTTTTCTGTATTTCTTTTCAAAAAGATTAACAAGGGGCCATTTGGCCCATCTAAGTTTTCCATCTTCTGCCACCACATCATTTCAAATTATATATGTAGAAAACTCTTTCCTTTATCCAGCTTCCAAAACATACTCCTCTCACACTTACAGCTACTACTCGACCACCAGGGTTTCTTCCTTTGCCCATCTAACCATTAGTCTGATTTTTTCTCGCATGCTCCAGTCTTTAATACCCAACTCAATTGTCCTTGGCGAATATTAATCTCATGATACTTTCCACCTACGTCAGTGTGCCCTCTATCCTGGTACTGTATATAAACGCCTCATTCAGATAATGTTATCAATTTTTCTTGACAAAATGTCACTAACAGGTTTCCCAATGTTATGATTGTTTGAAGATACTTTTAATGCTAACCGTGTAATCTAGTTTATTTTCATAATAATAATAATTTAAACAAAAAATTCTGGTTGGCATGCCAACTTACAGTATGAATTCCTGGATTATTATTATCTAGCATTGCATAACAAGTGGGAGCGGGGGCACTCCTGGTTGAGACTATCATTGTTCTTATTCTTTGTGAGATGGAGACATATATTTGGATCTACAATTGTTCTCTGAGGTCGCAATTGAGGGTGATTCTC